ACGATTTTTCTTGTTCCACCGTCCGACGTGGCGTCCCGAGGGGGGACGCTCCTTCATTGGGGGGTACAGAAGATATAACAAACTTCGTTCTATTTGTATCCTTTTCTGCCGCTCTCGGTGGTACAACGCGGATCTTACGTTTGCGCTCGTGTACTAGATGCTATATCGGGAACGTGCGCTTTGATGGTTATCGGCCGATCTTTTCCGGTCAAAGATATATTATTCAGGAACCGTTGCAACGCGTCGTCGTGCAGATCCTCGCGGAATCTGACACATCTCATTCCGCCTTTCATTTATTCAATGCTCCAGAAATTTTAGAAATAGAACGCTCTTGTCGCGTAACCTACTTGTGGGGAACTACCTCGGTCTTTCGCGGGATAAATCCGTGATTCTGATGATCCGATAACGTCCGACTTAATCTGCTCGATTCTGCAACAGCAGAGAGAAAAACAGCAATTTGTCGAGTCTTAATAAAACCCGAGTCTAAAAAAAATACATCGCTGCTGTCGCGTCGGAGAGGAACTAGTTTTTCGAATCAGTCGACGGGTCCAAGAATCTCGATCGTCGTTTTGCGGCGACGCCTCGCGCACCTGGTGACCTGAGAAAAAGAACGGAGTCGATGACTCCGTCTTCCTTCCATGCAGAAAAGCGTTATTCCGCGCTCGAGCGCGGCACGAGCACGCGCGCACGTTCCTCGCCGGTCCCGCCGGACCTGCGATCTGCGAACCTGTCCCCGACGGTTACCAGGTACGTTTCCGCGAGTGTTGCGCATTTACAATGTTGTTACGGGGCGCGGGCCCGCTCGAGCGTGTGAAGGCCCGTGTCGGTGTGCGCTTAATATGCGCGGGCGTAGGGGCCGCGATGCGTGATTCAACGAGGGTTCTCACGAGCAGACCGAGCAGCTCTCGTCGAGGTGCGAGACGCGAGGTGCGAGGAGACTCAACCCAGGCCCACGGAGGAAAAAAAGTGACGAGAACCGCCGACGGTGCGGGGGAGAGCGGGAGGAGGAGAGCGAGCGAAATAATGAGAGAGAGAGAGAGAGAGAGAGAGAGAGAGAGAGAGAGAGAGAGAGAGAGAGAGAGAGAGAGAGCGAGAGAGCGCGAGGAGTGACGGGGAACGCGCGGCGGTACGTGTTCGCGGGAGTGCGCAACGGTACATGCCACATCGTTTAGGAATTCACGAATACTTTAAACGGGAGTAAATTCCTCGGCTTTTTATGCCGTTGTCACATCACGCACGGCGCGCCGTAATGAGACTCGCCGTGCGAGGGAGGGAAGCGCATTGAATTCCGAAAGAATATGCTGCCGTGACGGCGCGGCGGCGGCGGCGCGGGTGCCGTTTGTCTCGCGCGATCATACATCGCGATTAGATAGAGCGTGAGTTACGGCCGGAGGCGAGGGAAAGAATTGCGAATGCCTCGCGTTAACAAACGACACGCTCTGTGCAATTAGCGTATACACCCGCCGGATAACGAACGGATACGTTCCGCTCTACGTCGCTTGTCACCGCCGCTCGCATATCGACCGTAATTCGGCTTGAAAATTGCCCTGCAAACGTCACACCCGGGCGAGTCTCTCGTATTTTTTTTCAACGCGACATATCCTTGGCAGGATGTTAAACTCGACGCTCCCGCGCCTGTAATCGGAGAATGGGCCGACTCCCGTTTCGAGTCGGCTTACGATCATATCTGCTGCTGTGTGTCCATTTCTGAATATCTAAGCAGCTGTCATTCCCATTCATTCATGGAGTCGTATAGTAGTCTAGACGAGCGAACGTCGACGTCTCGGCGGTGCGGCGAGGTGCTCTCGGCGGTCTCCCTCTCTCTTTCTTCTTCTTCTTCTTCTTCTTCTTCTTCTTCTTCTTCTCCTCTCTTGCGCGCGCTCTCTTTCTCTCCTCTCCGCTCCTCTTCCTCTTGAGCTCGTAATCAAACAGACCGGCCAAGACACCGAGTTATTTAGAGAAAACTTTGCATACCATTAGCCGCCTTTACATAATTACAGATTGCCAGAAATTCCCGGCGGATTTTTCGACGGGCTCGTTGCGCGAGTGATTCGAGTACGTTGATCGTGGACCAGCCAAAAATGAAGAGAAAGTACGCCTGGGACAGACACTGTGGGAACGAGGCGCTTAACGTCGTACGGGGCTGTCGTTAGTGCGCGCGGGTCGGACAATGAATTATTTATAAATCAGAAGATGTATAATCGACGATGCGCGCTCGCGCAAATAAACGCACCTAAACTTCGAGTCTCTCTTTACGGTGAAATTATTCGCGTACGTTCTCCTCGTACTTCGCTTCCGTCGCGATAAATCCGGGCGCGCGCTCAGTGTTCTCGCATACAGATTCATTTTTATCTCGACGCACACGTGCGATGCTTCTGGGTCGTTAGCCCCCTCCCTTCTGCCCTTCCCCGCTCCTTTTCCCACCGCCCTGGGCTCATATCGATCACCGAGGAGGACTCGTTTTTGACGATCCGCGAGGACGTTCGCTCGCCGAGTTAATGTCGAATTCGTACTCTCGTCAAGCTCTCCGCGCCGAAAAACGGCGCGGCTCGTCCCGGACGCCGCCGGCGTTTCTTACCCTTTGGCGGAATGGAAATTGCGAGTAACGTCGGCCGGGACGATGCGCCGAGAATAGCACGTCGATATATCTCGCTGTCAACACGTGTATGACATTCGCGTACATCGGCGCGGCATAGCGCGGTGTGGGCGGTTTGGCGCGGCTTCACGACGTCACGGAATCGCGCGTGCACGACCCTCTCTAGTTTTGCATTCCGGCCGTGTGCTCCCACGAGCAATTAGGCTCGTCTTCAGATTCCACGCATGCTTTTCGCCGACTCGTGCGACGTGCCGCATCGCCGACATAGTGTTAAACCGATACTCTGGAGAAGCCCGAATTTGAATAATTCTCGGGATACCGTTGCGAATAGTCGCGCCGACTGCCAGGATCATTTTACTTGCCCTCTCTCTCCCTCCCTCTCTCTCTTTCTCTCTCTCTCTCTCTCTCTCTCTCTCTCTCTCTTTGCTTGTCACGGGGTCCTCGAACCCCTCGTGATTCGGAGGGAGTGTCCGACACGAGAAGTGACTTAATTTATTCGTCAATTACTTCTTCTGAACATCCGCTCGATTTTATTACCCGATACTGTCGCGTTCGGACGGCTCGAATTGGAATCTCTGCGATTGTGGACCGGTTGATCCGCCGAAAGCCGCCGACTCTCGAGGCTCGTGTCTCGAGTTTGCGTATCATCACTCTTGCGGGAACTTCAATCCTTATTTAGCCGATAAATTTTGCCTGAGATCGTAATCATTTATTACGGGACCATAGAAAATAGGAGACGAGAGTCACTTATTAACAGCCGCTCTGGCATTTATTATTCTGCTTAGAAGCAGACGCAGCGGTAAGCACCTTAAATCACAACTCGGAGCATGTTAATGAACTGAGATAGCGAGAGGTAGCGAATACTTTAGCATCCTAATGAAGGAAACGTGTCCACGATCGGAGCTCCGACGAGCCGCTCCGACGTCTCGAAAACGACAGTTCGTCGACGAACGCAGGCAACTTCGCGCTTTTTGTCTTTTTCTCTTTCTCTCTCTCTCTCTCTCTCTCGTTCTCCATCTCTTCCCGTCTTTACATTTTTGAACGAGAACGGGGTTCTCACCGACGAGCCTCGGAATCATCCCCCGCGTATCGATCATCGTCACACGAAGGGAAGCGACATCCAGAGACCTCGTTACGTTTGTAGCCTCTCCGTCGCAACAATGGTTGCTCGACATTCGCGAACATGTCGGCGAGCCGACATTGTGTTCGGCGCGGTGTGTGCACGCCGCTCTGCCTCTCGCGAAAGCACCGTCCGCATACGCGGGATTTAATCGAAAGATAATGCGTCTTTCGCCGTATCCTGCTCGCACACACGAGTCTAATTCGCGCGTACGCGGCGCACAAGGTTGCATCGCACCGCACTTCTGGCTGCGAGACGAGGCGGAGGAGGAGAAAGAGAGAATCGCAGAGACGCATGCAGGTCGAGACGACCGCTCGACCTGTGGAGTTGCAAATGGCCCGGCTAGTGATTTACAGGAATTTGAGATGCGTGCGCGATCGCCGCGCAGGAAGACGCGACGGAGTATCGTTCTCATTAATTACGCGCTGATAACATCGCCTAGCTAGATCTTAATTTTCCACCTGTGCGGGATGCGCCGGTGCGATTTGGGTTATTAATCTTTAGAGGACCGCAGTTGTTTTCTTCGACTTTTTTATTTTAAGTATTAGAACTTTATTATTAACATCATTGAGTTGAATGACGAAAAAGATGGCGCCACTTTCGCGCCAATATATTGACTTCCGGTCCGGAAGAGAATCAGGGTCCTTTTTTTTTTTAGTTTTTCAACTTAATGTTATTAGATATTATTAGAATAATTGTTTAACATCATTTTAGAGAAAAAGTAACATAACAAGACAAATAACATGTATAAAAATTTTTATACCGCAATTTATACCGCAAGTAGAAGGCAGTCAAAATGCGTCATATGTATTTATATATATCAATTTATTTCGCAATAAATGCATACTTTGTCGAAAATATAAAAAAAGTAATTGAAAAAATAAGAGGATTAATGCTTTTACGATACATTTAGTAGTTTTTCTTGGTGCGGTACAGTTTGAAGCACGGTGCACAACGCAAAGAGGTGCATCGCATTCACCGCAAATAAATAACAAGTATAACAATAATTATTATCAGCTCGACAGTCATATCATATACAGAGAGCGTTTGCCCGATGCTGTTTACAAATCGAAACTGGCACAATACAAAGTATAACGTGTAAGCGAATATGAAATATAAAAGTAGAATATTAATAAATTAAAATATCCTACAATAGTAAGTTAAAACCTGATAAATTGGTTTTCGAGCCTCCAAAGGCAAAAGCAGTTAAAAGCCAATAAATTGGTTCCCGGTCCTCCAAAGGTTAACACGCTTAACGAGTGTCCTGTCTGTCTTTGTGTCCAGGCGATCTTGCAGAAGTCCTCGGTATCGGTGGAGATCGAGGTGAGACCGAGGCAATTGGTACCAGACACGAACTGCTTCATCGACTACTTGCCGCAGCTGCAGATCATCGCGAGAGCTATTTCCGGGGCGCAGCCAATCTACACCCTCATGGTGCCACTCGTCGGTAAGCGAAAACAAAGGGTTCCAATGGGCTGTTTGCTTCTTTTGAAAAAAAAAGAAAAGAAAAGAATAACGAGAAATCGATGACGAGTCTCGCGTGGCTCGCCCGCCAGAAGCATATACGCTCCGATTGACCTCCGACCTGGACGGGCGTTTTTTCAAGCGAAGGTCGTCGATTATCTCGCGAGAGAGGTGGATCTCGCCCCGCGGGAACGCGTTTCGGAATAATAGCCCTCTTCGTGCGAAAAGATCGGCGCGTGAAATAATTGACGATAAATAACGCGCCGGTCGTGCCTCTCTTCCGCTCTCCAGCGCCGGCCGGGAGGCTCGGGTTCGCCCGCATCAGCGAGAATAAAGGAGGCTCCGATTCGGAATCGACGCCTGGCCCAATGTATCGTAAAATCCCAGCTCTCTATCTCGTTGCGACGCGCGCTGTCTCGCTCGCCTCGTAAAAATCGACCGCTGACTATCGCGGAGATTGGAAACACTCGCCCGCCGTCGCGAGACGATCCCGTCAGATGTACGATCGCAATCAGCGCCGCCACTCCGCTAATCATTGTTAAAGAAATCGGATATTGTCTCTCGCAATTTCTTCCCGAGGCGTCGTTCCCATCACACGAAATCCGCTATTCGCTACATCGTATCGTCCCGATTAATTTCGATTAAAAATCTTAACATTAAAAATGTCCCGAAAATCACACCACGAGACGCGATCGACGATGGCCAAAAACATCTTCCCAAACGTTGCGTCTACGTAACGTCATTGGATCGTCCGTGCGATCGGGCGGTTCTAGGTCGCTTGTTGAGTCAAAGCAATCGCGAGAGCTCGCGAAGAGTCTCTCGACTCACCCCGTCTCCGACGACGAGGACAGCAGCGCGCGACGTTCACCGGCGTCGCGATGTCGTCGGACGATCGCCGCCGATTCCTAGCGAAGGATAGTTCATTGGGTCATCGTCATTACGCGTCACCTGCCGCGGAGTCTCCCTCCCTCTGTCTCTCTCTCCTCGTGAGAATGAATTGTCCCATTTATCCCCTGGCGTTCATTGTCGTCGTCGCCGTCGTCGTCGTTATCATCATCACCACCGTCGTTCTATCGACGTCGTCGTCGTCGTCGTCGTCGTCGTCGTCGTCGTCGTTGGTTACCTGCGGCGGAACGCGGCTTTGTCCGGCCGGGAGCCGTTTGCCGGATCGAACTGCGGACCGACACAGCCATTAACGGCGCTTGCGTCAGCTCGCGGCTCCACGGCGGAGGATGATGATGCCGAGGAATGCGAGCCGATTCCTCCGCTCCAATTAACGTTGAGCAATTCTTCGACGGAGGTCGATCTACCGCGCCATTGTCAGGGCGCGCTTTTCTTAACGGTCCCACGTCGGGATCTGGCCCGAACTAATTCACGGTCCCGAGTCGTCGTCGTCGTCGTCGTCGTCGCTGTGTCGCCACGCTCAGAGTCTCCTTCGATCCGGCACACTGTCGCGCATTCCGGTTAGAGCGCGTACCGTCATATTGCGTTCCGCTATGTAAATATAACAGTGCCCCAGTATTTATGCAAATGCGTCCACACGAGTCTTACACGAATTTCAAGAGAGCGTTTAAATTGCAAATGAGGCATTGACGAATTGCGCGGACACGTGTTTTATAAGCAGGATATTGTCCAGCCGCGCGGAATTAACGGAATGCCAGCGACAAAAAAATTGGAAGGTTGCCGCGATGTGTCGGGAATCGAATCGGCAATTAATAAATGACGCGGTCATCGCTCGTCGGAAAGAGCCAAGCGTGATCTCGCGGAGAGTTCCGTGATATTACGGCATCTCCTCGCTCTCGCAGCGCTCTTGTGTCCTGCTGCTTCGGCCGAGTCCTCCAGCGTTAAAGCACTCGTTAAACCGCGTCATTAGAATCCGTTAATTATTATTCGCTTCTGCGAACGTTATCCGCCGAGGCGAACGCGCTGCGGGATCCAGATAGCGGTAACCGCGTACTACCGTATTGCAAAGAGTAACAAAGCGCAGTTCTATTCCGAGGAGATATCACTGGGGGAGCGCGTGCGCCGTAAATCACGATCAATTAGACAAATCGCGTCGCGAGTTTATATGCCGATATGCTTCGAAAGCTCGGCTTCAATTTTCCGCTCGATTTCTCCCGTTTCATACCTCAAACGACGCCGCGGCGCTTTGAACCTTTCCACAGATAAGGGAATTTCGTCGCAAGATCACGTTCAAGCAGGCTCGATTTATCGAGCGGAGTGAAATTTCTTCCGCGTCACGCGTCGGCCTTTAGCTTTAAACACGATTGTCTTCCACGGAGACGCTCGTTTCTGTCAATCGTCGGCTGGATGACGCACGGCAACGACGATGACGCGCACGGCGCGACGGGACGACCGGTTGTTTCTTTTTTTAATAGTGGGTTTGTAGGCACTCGCTACTCGCGGTGAAACGCAATCAGCGATAAATTTACAATCTTCCACGGCGCGGCTGACATTTTCACGGTGTTGTGCGGTAAATGCGTGTGGAGTTACGGGCATGACGATAGGACGGGTGCATTCGGAACATTTATTGCCTCGCGCGTATATCTTATCCGCGCTCGAGCGCTTTTAATTCTTCGTGATATATTCATTTCAAATGCCGGAGCGTTCGTTACCGCAGCGCGTGCGTCTGAGTTACTATATACCTCGTGCTCAACACGCATACGTATACGTGACGCACCGATTTCTCGCTCTGTGCGTCGAAATTGTAACGAGCAGATTGGACGCGGAAAGAAATCGATTCTCCCCCCCTCCCCTCCTTCTCTTTTTCCTTCGAGACGTCAGTTTGTGACGAAGCCTCTCGAGAAGAGAGACCGCGCGAAAGTTGGACACGTCGGCTGAAGACACGCGGCACGCTCACACGGTGCTCGATCGAAGACAAGGCGACTAGTGCCAAGGTTCAAGGCCATTGGAAATCGAAAGGCTCATCAATCATCATCGCTATCGCCAATTAGCGCTGATCCAATCGTCGATTCAGCAAAATCGATTCACGGCGCGCCAATCCGAAACGCGCGGTACCTCGCGGAAGCTTGCGTCACCGCTTGCGCGTCCTATTTTGTCATGGGTTGTTCCTCGTCATCGCTCTCCTGACGGAAGAGCTTCGGATGCCGAAGGCGCGTGTCAGGCGAGACCCAAGTCGCGGCCGTTGCGATGGGGCAAGGACAATCGCGTCGACTCGCCGATTTTGATGGCAAAAGCGGGGATTATCGCGATTGGTCACGCGTCGATCAGACTCTTGGACGATACCGTAGCGAGAGTCTCGCGGGGCACGAAGAGATCGTGGAAAAAGTTGAAGTGGGATGGTCTACGTGTTTGCGCGAAGAAAACGAGTTCGTTTGAAGTCTCGCGAGATCGTCCCTTAAAGTTTCATCTCGCGGCGGAGCTTTCTCAATTCTGTCCGCGCGCTCCAGCACGACGTGCTCTTCGGCTGCAGTGCACGTCCTTACGTTTCTCGGCGACGAAATAATTATTTATCGCGTAATGATAAACGACATCCGCAGACATCCTGGGTAATAAATAACGGGCGTTTCCCGTATTTCCCTCTCGCTCGGCAGTTATTCTTTCCATTTCCGTCTGGCGCCCCCGTCTCGCGAACTTCATCCACTACCGACCGCCCTTGTCTGCTACGGGGCCGGCCTGGAAGGAGGATAAGGCTGGCAGCCGGTTAATTTATCGAGTCGGGGGAAGTTTGCTGGATCTCCTATTTGCATTTTCCGTAGATTGCATCCCCGCGAATATACGAGCAAGCGCGTGCGCGTGTGTGCGACGGCAATCTGTGGCGAATGGAGTCGATAAAGCTCTCTCTTCTCTGTCTCTCCTCTTCTCTCTCTCTCTCTCTCTCTCTCTCTCTCTCTCCCCCCCTCTCCCCCCCACGGCAATTCGACAATGATGATCCTCCCGCCGAAAGAAACCTACGTCGTCGCTTCACGCGCGGAGATAATGGATTAAAGGGTGATATAATAAACGACGCGCCACGCGAATATCGAGCTCGCGAGTGCGCTCTTCATCGCGCGCTTTCTTCTTTCTCCTCCGCGTCGGTTTATACAGTACCTCCGACAAAAGACGTCTCTTTCTTAGAGCCCTCTTACACCACTCTCGCCGCACATGCATTCTCCCGTTCCTTTTTGTCATTCGTACGGTGGTCGTGGATCCGAAAAACGAAAGTGCGCCGTCATGCAAAATCGGCCGACGCTGCCCTTTGACCCCGTCGGCCAGAGTCAGCCAGCTAGCCAGCCAGTCAACCACGGGCCCGTCTGGCTCCGATGGTGAACAACGGTGAGTGTTCACAGTTAGGTTCTCACGGCTCATACATGAATGCATGTATGCGGCCTGAAACGCCCGCGATTGGCCCGATGTCGGCGTCTACGGCAGTGGCGTGTACCGTCCGCCTTCTGGCTACGATCGGTACGTGGGCGATATCGACGACGATCGCAGCGCCGATCGCCGAGTAGAGAAAGGCAGAGGGAGAGTGGCTTTTGAACGTGCACGTATGCGATGGTCCTTTGCGTCGCGCCACCCCCGTTTCCCTCAATCTCGACCGCGAAGACGAGATCGATGCCGCGTCGAGGGAGCACGTGCTCGCACGTGCGCGTAGGGAGGGAGGGAGGGAGGGAGGGAGGGAGCCGCCGTGGTGGTAGTCATAGAAACGGCTTCTCTCGCGGGTCCCTCGTGGCAGCGATTTTTTATTTACCGAGGGAAAAAGGATCCTAATTTGCGGCAAAACGTTTCTACCCGACTGTAGAGACCACAAAAAGACCACCACGCGGGGGTGAGAGTCGCGCTCTGAATCAGCCCTTCGAGCGAATGTACGTAAGCGCAAATTCCTCCGTATGCCGTAATACCGAATGTAGAAATGCTGTCCCGTTGCTGCGACGAAACATCGACGACGAGCATCGTGTCGTGAAATTGAAGGGATTTTCGCGAAGGACAGTGTCCAGCGATTCGAGGAGACGAATCGCCGTCGTCGACAGGTCGGAGCAGGTCGAGCAAACGATGTTGTTACGCGAGTGACGGAACGGCAAGTAATTATCTCGCGACGCGGAGCCCTTACGCGTCGTTAACGGGCGGAAATGCTGCTTTTTGTTGCAGTGCTAAATGAACTCGAAGGTCTGGCCCGAGGCGCCGATGCGAGAGACTGTCCACCGGCGTCGAGGGCGGCGCTGAATCCTGAGCATGTGGTGCGAGTGGCCGAGAGCGCCAAGGCAGCGCTGGCCTTCGCCAGAAGCCGAAATCCGGCGATCCGCTGCTTAACCACGAGAGGCACCGTTCTCACATCCAGCACTTTTACGGTGGAGGAAGATGTCGACAAGGTAAGAGGAGAAGAAGCGGTGGGACCCGGGCGATTCGATACGCTTACATTGGCTGCTTGAGTAACTGTACTCGGCGCTGGTATTTAGAAGGCGAATTTGCATCGATCGTTGACCGCGTGCGCCGCTTGGAACGAGTGTCCCGATGAGCCTCGATCCTTCGCCGTTTTATTTTTAACCGGTCCTTGTCTAACGTCCGAACAAAAACTCGCGAGACTCGCCGTCGCTCAACGAGATCTAGGCGTGGAAACGATATGACACTTTTTGCCGGAGCTCTCCTCGATGTTTCTCTACTCTATTTGAACTTGCGAGCTATTCTCGGCGCATCGAAACACCGTCGCGATTAAACGAGCGCCGCAAACAGCTTCGTCCGTCGTGCTGGTCTATTTTCTACTCTGTCAGGAAGAAGAAGAAGAAGAAGAAGAAGAAGAAGAAGAAGAAGAAGAAGAAGAAGAAGAAGAAGAAGAAGAAGAAGAGTAGGAGAAGAAGAAGAAGAAGAAGAGTAGGAGAAGAAGAAGAAGAGGAAGAGTAGGAGAAGAGAAGAAGAAGAAGAAGAAGAAGAAGAAGAAGAAGAAGAAGAAGAAGAAGGAAACGTCGTCAGCGCGCGCGCGCGCGCGATTAAAACCCGTTTCGACAATCGCGTAGCCCGAGCGCACAAATTATCGAAGGCTCGTTACTGTCGTCGCGATTTCCGTATCAGGACGCCTGCGGTGTGCACGACAAGCGCGACGCGATAAAGCGAATGGATTTTGACGTTCGCTCGATACGATTCCAATAGTCGCGTACACAGAAAGGCGGCCGTACGAACTCTGCCAGCACAGTCGTTTGTTCCCAAAGACCAATGGCAGCGGGTAGAAAGAGAGATAGAAACGGTAGGCTCACTCGGACGGTGTTCATTGAAGCGCGAATGTTATGATAACGAGCAGAGTACCCGAGAACACCCACGTGGTGTACGTGCAAAAGACTTTTCGCAGCCTATCGCCGTCGCGCCCGTTCACTTGGCGCCGAGTACGGTGGCCTGTCCGAGGCGAGAGCTCAAATTTTCATGACAGTCTCTGTGACGAATTCCGGAGGCGGTCCTTGGCGTTGTTAAATGAGACGGAGCGCGATTATCTGTCGACTTCATCGGTATACGAAACATTTCGGGCGTTTTGTTGCAGGATGGACTGACACGAAACGACGACAGGATATTGACCACGTGCCTCAGCCTCTGCAGAACGATCAGCAAAGACCAAGTGAATACAGGTATGTGTGTCTGCCTTCTCGAAGCGTCAGGATAGGTTGCGTTTGAATATTCTGGATCTCGCGTAGTCTCGCAGTCCTGTTTCGATTCAACTTTCCGTCCGTATGACAATCGACTCGTACTGTCGCCACTCTTAGATTATTTCTACAGTGTTCAAAAGTTTCTGTGATCTTATTCTAATCTAGTTCAAGAATGCCTCTCGACAAAGGACAATTTTTCTGCTCGATAAGTTTTTCAAGTAACGTTTAAAAGTAAGTAAGAAGAGAGAGAGTGAGTGAGAGAGAGAGAGAGAGAAACCTTTTCTCATCTCTTCGAAACTTAACCGTAAATTCCGTTCCTCTTTGAATTTGATACTTAGAAGAGAGAAGACGCTTTGCTACTTTAAATTTATCGAAGAACACCCAGACGGGAATTAGTCAGTGTTAGTAGCGGGAGGTCCGGTGTAAGGTCGGTAAAAAATGCAACCTCGGCTTTTGCCGCAGCAGAGGAAGGACAGCCGCGGCGTTTGAGACGGGAGGTGGTCCTCCTCACCGAGGACCGGAACCTCAGGGTAAAGGCTTTGGCCAGGGACGTGCCTGTGAGGGAAGTACCCGACTTCATGCAATGGGCTGGGCTAGGCTGAGACATCAGAACGTGATCGCGACCAACTGTCCCCGCTGACAAGAATTCTCCCGTGTTTCTGCCGCACGAGCACGACAAGCAAGAACAAGAACAAGATCAGACGCAAGACAAGAGGAAGAAGCCGAAAGAAATGCCGAACCGATCTTCGTCGCGAATTTATTTCGCGGACGACCGTCGACTGTGCGCGCACGCGACGCTGTCATTGCGTAAGCGTGCGTCCCGACTGGGTATATCATGCATTCAGTCTCCCACCTAATATGTCAACACCCTTTTCTTTTTTGATCTTTTTGTACGCCCTCGACGACAGAAATTGTGGCGGGCGACGAATAAAAACAGAAAAGAAGAGGAAACAGAGGTAGAAAGAAATGAAAGAAACTGCGCGACCGCGCGAAAACTGCGAGCGATGTATGGTGTACGAGCGACGAGTAAGAAACACCTCGAAAGAACTTGACGCTCGTCGTTTCAGCCGGAAACGCCGAGCCATTCGAAGGCTCTTCGAGCATGACCGTGACACTTCCTACCTTGCAACACCCCTAACTGTTCTATGTATCTTGAACGTGTAGACATAAAATCTCGACGAGAGCTTTTTCGCGCGGTGACGTGTAACGGATGAGCCAAGAGAGAAAGAGAGAAAAGGGGGGAAGGGAGAGAGAAGGAGAGACGCATTGAACGCAATCAAAGACGACCGGCTTCAAACAGGCGTACAGACGCGGCGAGGTAAAATTGGAAAGAAATAGAGGAAATAAGAGTGGGAGAGAGAGAGAGAGAGAGAGAGAGAGAGAGAGAGAGAGAGAGAGAGAGAGAGAGAGAGAGAGAGAGAGTGTGTGTGTGTGTGTGTGTGTGTTGTGTGAGTGAGTGAGTGAGAGAGATAGTTAGACGAGGACGCGTGTTGTGACAGAGAAAGAGAGAGTACTACAAGAACGATAAAAGAAAAGAAATAAGAAACTACAAAAAACCCTGCTGTCTTGCAGTTGTTGCCGCTATTTGTAGATTGTTTTTATCAGTGACGGCCGTCGCCTATTGCGGCCGGATTGTTTTGTACGATTTCGTTCGGCGATATTCACTTTGTTAAGCAAGACACATCATTATCGATAAAAAAGAAGAAAAATAAGATAGGAGAACATTTTTATACCGCACCGTACATCGGTGTCGCGCAACGCATGCGTCGCCTTCGTTGTTAGCGGTCGCGAGATGAGTCTTTTTTTATCATCGTCGTTGCGAGCCCCGTCGCGCGAATCCTCACTGACATTTTCCAACGAGAGCCACGACCCTCCCCTCTGTTTCTTGTGTTAATGCCATTAATGTCATTACCTGTAAGCTACCATAAAGTGAATTATCGGCGACGGTTCATTTTCAATGAATGAGCGGCAGTAACCGCTCGAAACGTTGCATCGCCGTAAAACGGCACCGCGAATTCACCGTGATTACCGATTAAGCTCACGCGATCGAGCTGAATTAAATATTTCAGGGACGATCGGGGGGGGGGGGGAGAGCGACTCGTCATCGTCGCCGAAAACCGATGACGGCTCATGCGTGAAATACGCGTCGCGCAACGATCGGACATTTGCACTCCCACAAGATGTTGTCGGAGAAATGTCGATCCGAGCAGACACGATAAGGGAAAGTTTCGGCCGAAACTTTCCTCGACCGTGCGAGCGTATTTTCGCGCACTGGATCGAACGAAAGTGCTGTTCGGGCGAAGGTGCTGTTGCCGATTGTCTCCCGTGAACGTACCTACTGCACGTACGCGCGCGTACACAATAGCCAACGAGGTGTGCGGCGGCACCTCTTCTCATTGCTCGCAGGTACTCGCTTGTGTAGCTTGTACATTAACACTTGTGGTACGCCGGCTTAAGACTTAGGAGTTTAGCGTAAGAATATACGAGACACGCGGATCGATTCTGCAGAGAGAATTATCGGCCGCGCGATTGTAACCGTGGTGTTCTTTAGAATATCGGAGATTAACTCTTTTTATCGATGGAAAAACTGGATTATCGGAGCGGCGTTCGCGACCGCGATCGCAAACGCTTGGACAGCGTACGACGCGACGAGGACACCGACGATGGGCCGACTGGCGTCAAATTAGCGCAGTATGTCTCTGCCTGCTTGCCGGCGAGATCGCGGTCGCGATCGAGCGCGAGATTGGGATTCGCAGAGTGGAACACGCAATCGATGTCGCTCGCGCGGGTTGAAATCGAGCGGACGCCCCGGGATCGCTTTCCTTAGGACGCGACGAGCCGACGTGTTTCCTTCGTGTTTTTTTAGTACTTCTCGCTTTTGTCAGACGTATACGAAATCTTGCGGGAGATGCTTGGAAGCGCACAGTGACCGAGACACTCGCGGCCGGCAAAGAACTGGGGAACCGACCGATTGAGTAGTGAACACGATGTCCTATTTTTCGACAAAGTTAAGGTAGTTACTTAATGTTCCGTAGCGACTATCGAGTATGTATGCATGCGAGAGACAGAAAACACGAGAGAACGAGAGAGAGAGAGAGAGAGAGAGAGAGAGAGAGAGAGAGAATGGCAAGTAGATTAAATGGAGAAGGAAAGACAGGTCAACGGAGAGCAACAAAATGTTCGACACTCTGGAGATCACGTCTACGAGGAACCTCGATGTGATCCGAAGTATCGTCTAAATTCTCGCGTATTACATCGAGCCGGTGAGCAGAAGAAGAGCCCACCCGCGCAGTCCGGGCGATATCGTTTCGTTACACCGCGCCGTTCCACTCGAGAAACCGCACGTTGTTCCGCACGCAGAAGAAAGTCAGTCTCCTCGGTGTGTCGGGCGAGGGTGACCGTTCGTCGCCGCTTTAGCGGCACAAGAAGCATATGAAAATCTCCTCTTCCGAGACCTGTCCCGTGGGAAAGTGTTCTCGGACGAAGTAAAAAAAAGGGGTGGAGAAAAGAAAACCCCGCCGTGCGTCTGCGCACGGGCTCTTCTGTCGCTTGTGGATTTCAATAATTTCCCCGCGAAAAATCGCAAACGATCGCTCGAACTCGCGAGTAGGAAACACGGCAAGTCAGGTTCCGCGAAGCACGTCCAGGTCTTATTTAAGCGTAAGTACTTCTCAATGTCGCCAGGAGACGCGGTGAACACGGTTTGCCAACGATACCTCGCCAGGATTCAGGATCGGCGTGTTGAGAGAGAGAGAGAGAGAGAGAGAGAGAGAGAGAGAGAGAGAGAGAGAGAGAGAGAGAGGCGGGTAGGGGGCACGGAGAAGGAGAGATAGAGAAAGGGAGAGATGAACTTCGCGCTTGTGAACAAGAAGTTCTTGTGTGCCTCTCGTCCTTCGTCGTGTCCGTTTACTTTGGCGTCGTTTTCTTTTTCCCCGTACCACCTCCTTTCCCGACGCCGTTTTTAGCTCAATTTTTTATCCGAACCTCCAACGCGAGAGTGCGTGTCGATAAAGTTGACAAAGTTCACACGAAGCACCGACGATGTACACACTGTCATTGTTTTTTTTTTCATTAATTTCTAAGTATATCATTAGTAGACTTTTTAATGCGTGTATTCGGTCGCCGTAAGCGACCAGATAATTCATACGAAGACAAGCAAAATGTTCCGAGGCGGTAGGAACGCGACAAGTCGCCGGGCGAAATCGATTGCGCGAGTGCAACATGCAATCGCCGATGCGCAGTAGGAATTATCGATAAACTGTTCGCTTTCTCCTTTTCCAAACCGACGTTGATGGTCCGCGCGAGATATGTTTTTAACGATCGCGGAAAGAAACGCGAAAAAATCATTTCTACGCATGATCGATTGAACGCGTCAAACGTTTCATTCCGTTTCATGAGAAATGATGAATCCACTACTTACATCTCGATGTGTCCAATATCAGTGTGTTCCTATAGAATATCCTACATCATAAAATCGTAAAGTTAAATTACCATTTCTTCATCACCGTTATCATTGTCGTCATCATCAAAATGCAATGCGAGAGTGAGTGAGATATTCGCAACGACACGCGCGAGATTCAGACGAAAATCTTCACGTCTTCGAAGACACGTCTCGGGCGCACAGTCGACCGTCGGTTTCCCATCTTTTTCCTCCTCTTTCGAAGAGGAGTTTATCGATAATCCCCACTAACTAGTTATACGATAATAACAATCAGGGTATATAGTTTGCAATTATATTTCGAGCATATCACACAGCGTTTATCTATATCATCGAGCCCCTTTCTTCTGCAATAGCCGTATCAGTGCAATAGACTCGCGCTACCTGTACGGATAATATCGCCATCGCGATAAGACTATCCGTCCCTCCCTCGAGCTCACGATTCATTTTCGCTGTTTCAATGTAACATATAACTCCACTCGACTCACTCCGGTCTTTCACTATGAAATTGCATACGTCGATCGTGTCGCGGCCGGTGGTGTCGGCCGATCGGCTTGCGCGATCGAGTTCACGTTAGCCCGTGCTTGAGAGAGAAGAGAAGAGGGAAAAAAGAGCGAGGATGAGAGAGGAAGACAGAGATTGGAACGCCTGATTATAATAGGTAGACAATTGTCACGTAAGATAGACATCGTGATTTTTAGGGTACGATGTGTCCTGAAAGCGGGACCCCGCGACGCGGGACGCGATTCTCGGTGTCCTGCTTCCGAGATAACTCTCACACCGTAAGTGTACCTCTATACCTATAAATGTATATAGGTATATATAATTATATATAATTATATGTACGTATTATATATAATTATACATATATAAATACAATCCGTCACTCACCACTCACACACTCACATCCACGCATACGCTCACACACTAATACACATATAAACACATATACATTCACACTCACACACAGCCCCGATTTTATGCTAGATCCCCGCAATATCTATTAAATCAATGTGCGTGTATTATCATGTGACGAAGCAAGAACAAACCGTTTGTATTTCGTCTCAGGAAAAGTTATTTGCCGATACGATACTATACGATACGACGATCATGATACCGAGGATGATAATGATGACGATTATGATGATGATAATGATGTTGCTACGGCGGAGGTTTTTAGGCTAATCGTTTATTACACTTATGAGAAATGTCGCTACTATAGTGTTACCACTTTGAATATTCAATAAAAAGTGACGTTGAACCCCTTCTAGCGTTATTGTGTCATGTACCTATACGGTAATTACACGATATTTAGTATATACAATATCGGTTTTTTTTTTTTTTGCTTCTACCAATCTCCCACAACGGTGACCACCAAATTACCCTCCCCCTCCCCCCCGTCGCACCTGTCCTACCGTCTTCTCTCGCGCTCCCGCGAGATATTTCCCGGCGAGTTAATTCAGCCGATCGAAAAATCGCTCGACACTCGAGAACGCTCGACAGCGCGATGTCGCGCGGATCGCACGGTGCCTTGGCTACCGCCGCGACGGCGGCTTCGGCGACCCGACCCCGCGGAGGTCCGGTTCGTCCATCGGACGGACTTTTCTCGCGTGCTCTTTACCCAGTTCGCGAGATTTAGGCTCGCGAGGCACGCGGCCGGGGACCGTTGCGTGATAGAGCCGTTGACACGCTCGACCTCGTTATATACCTTTGTCGTCGAGGGTTCACGTGCCGCCGGACGGTGTTCCTTCTGGGTGCACGACTAAGGTCGCCCGAGTCATTCCGCGCGCGGGCGCTTGCGCGTGAGGTGTAGGCACGTTTTTTCGCGGGAGCCACGGGGCGACGGGGCACCGTTAACGGCACCTCCGTATATACCGGCGCTTCTTGCCACGATCGACAAATTCCAGTGTCCATTATCGACGTCACGATGCCGGCCGGAGCGCGATTCGTGCCCCATGTCGCTAATTATCCGACGTCGCTTTTGTCGCGGTCGCGGCTGCTTCTTTTTCCTCTTAGCCGCTGGATTAACGGCCGGTCTCACCGGCGGGGCTTAGATTTATACCCGAGGAACCGCCGAGAACCGCGGATCTCCGAGCCGTAAAGAGCGTGTCGGTTTTTTCAGAAATCGGCTCTTCGGCATATTTCACTTTGCCTTTGATGATCGACCCAACGACGATCTTCGTAGATCGGAAAGGCACGACGGAAAGAAACAGGTGCGCCATCCGCGTTCTCCAAATTTCGACGCGGCCGTCCTCCGGGACGACTGGTCGTCTTGATCGTTTTCGAGTGATCGATAGTTGATAGAATTATTCGAAGGGACGGTCTCACGACCATCCTCGCGAGACCAGCAGCGGACAGTACATTTCCGGTGGAGCAGAGCCAATAGAAGCAGCGAGAGAGGCAGCGCGAATTCTCTCCCGAGCGAGAGAGTCCGGCAAGGTCCGGCTATTTTTACCCGGCCAACCTTGAACTTGCTGCCGCCGCCGCCGTCGCCGCCGCCGTCGCCGCCGCCGCCGCCGCCGCCGTCGCCGCCGCCGCCGTCGCCGCCGCCGCCGCCGTCGTCGTCGTCGCCGCCGCTGTTGCAGCGATCCGATCACCAATAAAGGGACTTATCTAATTCTGAGAAAGGCGATCGCCTCTCGCGACTAAGAGGGTAAGTACTGTATTCCCATCGTCGACGCACCTCGAGAGACGCACCTGCGTAACCACGCGTAGCTTCGACCACTTATCGGAGGAACACACATACCGCGAATGGCTGCGAACTCTTTAACACTTTGCTCCATGCGATGTTCGCAGTTATTACGGTAACTTCTTCGACGCTTCGGAATTATCGTACATGTGCATAATTAATATTTTTCTACGTTTCGCGTTCGTACTCGCGTGTTCTATCTCTGTGTTTTCCTTCCTTGGAATTATTTACTCGGAAGCAATATTTAAATGATAATTAAAAATAGTGAAAGTGATAATTTTCGAAATATTATTAGACGCAAATGTATCATTCTGAATTTTCGTTTTTTTTTTTCCCCTCGAATTTAGGACCAGCGAACGGAGCTCCCGGGCAGTCGAGCGAGCAGAAGGAGACGCGCGAATTCGGAATTTGCGAGATCGCCGAGCTCGAGCGAGCCGCAAATGCACAATACGACGACGGCAAGTACGCGCGAGTGTACACGGGAGAGCGAGCAACGCGAGAGTTATGCGGTAGCGGCCGCGAGATAACGTAAACTCGCGGGTTATCTGATCGGACAATGTATCTCGCGATACGCTGACTGGTGAACGGGGTGACCCGCATACCGAGTTACCTCGTCCTCCGGCCAGGTTGCTGATGCACCAAGGATGAGCGCGCGCGCGCCGAGTCGCTCTCTCCGCGTATCGGCGATCGTCGATACCGAGGAGCCGAGCGACTAAAGGAGATCTTCTCTCCCGCCGAGAAGTTGCCGTGGAATCTCCAGATCCCGGGGATACCACGACAAATTCGGAGTCGATTCCCGTTCGCCGTCGGAGGGACTCGACTCTGCCGACAATTCCATGCGTCCCCCTTGACCCTCTTGAGCCATTAACGCAATCCGTCGGCCGCGTTGCATGCTGCATCCGGAGGATCGTCGTCGTCGTCGAGTCTCGCGGTTCTCGTCTCGATGTCACATCGGACGCTCTCTCGCATCGGCTCTTCGGACAGGGTTAAACGACCCCGCGCGGTCGACGGACGTCGGCATAATTTGGCGAGGCCGCGAGAGCGCGATACGAGGAGCGACGACGGTGGCTACCGGTTCGTCGCCGTCACCGCCGCCGCGCCGCCGCCGCGCAGCGGCAGCAGCCACGGCATCGCGTTTATGCGAGAAGCACGTAATCGCATTCACAACAGCCCGCACTTGTCTGACGGGAGTATAAAACCGGCGGGAGAACAGAGGGAAGAGGCCGCCATATGACGGCATAAAGATTCGCCCGCGCGCGTGCGTCGCTCGGTGCATCTGAAATCTAGCCGGCTCGCTCGCTTATTCTCTCTTTCGTTCGTCCGCCCGTCCGTCCGCTCGTCCGCTCGTCCGTCCGTCCGTCCGTCCGTCCGTCCGTTCGCGGCTCCTCGAAGTTTAGAAACTGAAGAGAGAAGCCGAGCGGAGGTCTCGACCGCGACAGTGCGCCCGGACCCTGACACGCGCGAGGAAACGCACATGTTGCCGTGGCGCGGCGGCGAGGCGGTGCGGGCTCCGTGCGCGCGCTATGAAGGAGCCCCTGCTGTTTCCTGGTAGCGATTAACATCGCCGTGTGTTCCCCACTTGTCCCCTTCCCCGAACGAACGCACTTCTCCTCTTCTTCGTCTCGTGTACAAGGAGAAGTACAACACAACCGTCGCCGTCGCCGTCGCCATCGCCGTCGGCGCTCTTCCTCGAGCCGACGCGCGGATGCAGGTCGCGGGCCCTTTTTTTCGCACCGCCTAACGACGTTTCGGCGAACGATGCGTGCCGAGCTGACCCGCGCCGCGCCGCGCCGCGCCGCGAGTCGAGTCGAGACGAGACGGAACGAGATGAACGAGACCGGTAAGTTCAAGTTCACGGGGTCGTTGCACGTGTGGTAGGCAGGCGGTGCGCGCTCACGTGTGGGTGTATGAACCGCTACGGTGGTGTGTTCTCGCGAAGTCAGCTGGCCGCGAGCCAGAATGCCGGCGACTGGATGACTTTCGATCGCGCCGGGTGGGCTCGACGCGTCCGCGACGCGGACGTGGTTTCTTTTGTCGCGCCAAAGCATCGCATCCGACCGAGAGAGAGAGAGGGTCGGTGATTTCGAGGGGACGCGATCTCTCGAGAGGTGACCCCTCGGCGGAGGGCTTGTCCTCCTCCGTAGGGACGTAGCCTTGGGTCTTGCCGTACTGTTGGCGTTTTCTAATCGCCTCGACTTGTGCCTCGACTTTGATCGACTGCGGTGAATTCAGGTTTGCGTGTTTCGCAGATACAATCGGCCGATAAGGTCACGGCTAAGGAAGCGAGACGCGGTAACGTAATCTCCGAAAAGGCTGCGTGATTTGTTCAGGTTCAGATTCGCGCGTCCCGCTCTCCGAAGTGACGCAACGACACCGTGACTTTAGACATTTCTCCCGACGAGGGCGGCGAGGAAGTTTCAGGGATTTTTATCAGGCTGATCTCATCGGCGCGATCGCTCCTCGCGCGTTCCATTTCCGAGCTGTTACGCAATGTTTGCGGATGCAGGTAAGCATCGGCCGAGCCGGGGCGTTGTTCCTCACCTTCGCGCGCGCGCGCGCAGGTCGCTCGGATGCGTCTTCTGTATTCGTCGGAGCACTTCTCGGCTCGTCTGGGTTACGAAATGCGGCAGGCGCACTGCGCGAATGCGGTAATCGCGCTCTGTCCTTACCGGTTCCTATCCTGGCCCGACCAAAGGCCCGTTCCTTCACGGGGAATAGCGTCGCGTGCCGTTCTCAGGGTGGCGTCGGACTTCTCCGTGAGACTTGTCCAAGAAGAATTTTTCGCGACATTCGACTCCGAACTTCACCGTCTCGTTTGATTCATCGGCGGACATTGAAACACGCGCGCGCGCGTGAAATTTCATTATTTCCCCGACAGATAACGAGGGCCGAGGGGAAAAATCGCGAGACCAGAGAGGCGCTGAGTTTCATCGTCGCGTACACCTTACGTCACCCCCTTAATTTTTAACTTGATTCGCATTTACACCGAGCATGCGATCTGCCTGTCTCTCGCGCTAATCTTGCGCGCACGCACACACACACATACACGCGCGCGCGTGCGCGCATTAATTCCTCACCATCGTCGAGCGCAACTACCGCGTTTTCGTAGCGGCGTTAAATAACTTAATTTAAGCGATGAAATCCCGTCCGCCGGTGCGAGAGGGAGCGAGAGAAAGGAAGCGGCCTCTCACTGGTAAACGCAGCAGCAGGTTGATCAGCGACGAGCATCGCGATAGCGCGCGCGGGGCTCGGATAAAATATTTTACGGTAATAAAAGCGCGGCCCGATCCGGCGTTAACATCGGCGCGGCGCGGCGCGGCGCTCGTGCGCGAAAGCCGCGTTTATACCACCTACCCTATTGCGCTCCGGCCTCGTTGCCGTGTTGCGTACGTCATGCAGCCGTGTGTTAAGCCTCGAAGCTAACTATCTCGCGCGACCAGAGGTCAAACCGGGACCACACAGCCGCGGCCGTAACTCAGACCTATTATATTTCGCAGTTTGTTGCGCTCCTCACTTCCTCTTTTTTTCGCCTCCTCCTGTTCCTCCTCCACCTCCATCTCCGCCATCCCCGT